CCCCAGTCCATCAACAAGCGCAACGATTTGGCGTTTCCCTACCGTGTACTGAGATAATGCCTGAGCAAAAGAATTGGTCATGTGGGAAAGGCCGGGCCCGACAACAACTCTGACGACAGTGAGCATAATTGTCGCGCAATTACCAAACCCGCATCCGACACAGACAGGGAAATCGCGGCCATTAATGAGTCGAACACGAAGTGTCAAGCTATCACCGCGCCAAGTAAGACCCGGGCGGTGGCTACAGGAGTGGATAATTACAGTATGCAAGCGGATGGCCGCAACGAACTATAAATACCGTGCAATCTGTGCATTTTTTACCCCTATCTGTGCATGACTCAGAATATTGTACCATTACCTATGATTAAGGATTCCCGATGGAATCCGAAACGTCAGGACAATAGAAATTTTGTTCCAGTGGTCGCATCTCCTTCTTCCGCCCTATTTTTCTTCGTTTTCCTCTTGTTTTTCTTCCTCTATTGCCTCTTCTTGTTTGGGGAATGATAGAGGCTATAGTACATTTGCACCTAAAACCTTAACATGCGATCGCGAATTATTTTCGGTGAACACAAGATGGAGCCACTTTTAGCTTATTTACAGCGTCACAGTTAATTCCGTATTCGTCGGAAGCTTGCGTAAGACCGACATTAGTCTTTCTAATTCTTTCGTGTTCCAAAAGCAAAGCCGCTTCACATGCTACATGGTGCCCAGCCTACAGTCCAATCACACTTTGCAAAAAAATCCAACAACGTTGATGGGACACGCACTTTCCTGATTTCACCAAGACATTCAAGTGGTTTGGCTGTGTTCACCGCTACGGCAAGCCCAGTTAAGTTGATGTGCAGATCAGCCCTGGGTAGGGGAGGAGTTAGGAGATCATATGAAGTTAGACGCCTGGCCCGCTGAAGACGCTGTACTTTGTCTGCGGGCCTAACGATAAAAGGAGGCCTTTAGAGGCAACAACTTGTGAACCTCTTCTCGAACGAGAACGAAATCTTCGTTACGAGGGATAACTCGTCGTGTCGCTTGGAGACCCTTCTTTAAGCTTCTGTGCAGACAAAAGCAACGAATTGTGGATCATAATCCGAGTAACCCCCCCTCTGACTGCTTCATCTCTGAACACCCTATCCCCCCTTACTTACTGGTCGGATGCTTAAACCTTTGTTACTCTACCCCCTCCCTTATATTTTTGTAATTGCCTGGTGATTAATAATCCAAAACGTACGTTCGCCAAACTTTACTGCCCCAACACACAAATGCCTATAAAAGGGAGAAAAGGGAAAGCGGATATAAAAGTTTGGGCGATAAGTTGCTCCAGACCTACCCGAACGTGCACGCGCAGATTGCTTGAGGTAGAAAATAGTCGGCCACAGGTGGGGCAGGGATAGAGGCGCAGACCCCAATGCGCCCGCAGATGGGTTATTAAATTGCTCGAGGTACAGAAGCCTTTGCCGCAGAGACGACATGCGAAGGGTCGTGTTCCAAAATGGGTTCTGCGATGGGTCTGATGAGAACAAAGACGAGAGCCATTATTAGCAGTGCGTCTACACAACCTACTGATTAGGCGTGAGTAGACTTAATTTACAAGCCTAAAAATACCTTGAGGTTGCTTGAAGTGGCATACTCGGAGCCGCAGACGTCACACTTGAAAGGTCTCACGCCGGTGTGGATGCGTTCGTGAGTTTGAATATTGCTCGCCGTAGCACTAGTCTTATCACAGAAACGACATTTGTACGGTTTTGTCCCTGTGTGCAGTCGGAGATGCGTTTTGAGGTTGCTGGAGTTTGAGAAGACTCGCAAACAGTGTTGGCACTGATGTTTGGTGGTCATGGTGCCGAGGTCCCGGCTGGTATCATCGTCCAACATCGGACCTGTGTTGATGCCCGGCATTGGCTTCTCGGCTTCATTGAGGGAGTCTTCTACGGGATCGGGTTTGCCCGCCTTTTTACAGTGCGAGGCAATAAAGTTGTTCAGGAGGGATTCCTGACCAAAGTACTCAGCGTGAGTTTTGCCATGCAGCTTGTTTCGGGTTATTTGGGGGAACGGTGCGAGATTTCTGCAAAAACAAAAATGGGGAAAGGCATTTTGAAAAGAGGCGCTTTGACGAGGGTGGAGGTGTAAAGTTGCGCAATGGCTGCAAAACAGCGTGTGTCCTCGGAGAGACAGACGTCTTATTTTGAAAATATAATTCTACAATTTTCAGCTAAAAACGTCGTCCATCCACCGTAAATCAAATTAGCCACACAAACAAAGCATAATGGCTGAACATTGAAATCGCCAACGTCATGAAGAATCGTTCGTGAATTAGTCGCTAAATATAGGCAAAATTTGACTTCCTTCAAGACGTGCTAGCGGCGTGTACTAATGATCTCATTGTTTTAGTTCGAAAAAACAGGGGGGGGACGGGGGTAATGATCGGTTTATAATGGGCGTACTGGTCCAGTCGAAGAAATTTAGGTAGGAGTCTTACGGGCTCCTGATTTTAGGGGAGAGGACGGGTAGTTTCACCCTTAATTAACCAGGTCGGTATGTGTTCGCGTACCCTCGTCTCCAGGCTTCGTTGTTCGGCAAATGCAAGCTGCTCCATGGGAGCAAGTGAAGACGCCTACACTTCCTTGGTCGACGCTGACGCAAGGTGGTGATCGCATATCGCCCCCATCCCTTTGTGACTGTCGTTCACTCTGTGCAAATGGCAGTACTTATCGTTCCACGTATCTGACCCATGACCAATGCTCACCACCTATTCATATTTTCCCCCCCCCTCCTCCTGCCCGCAGCGCAAGAACCTCTACACACTGACCTCGCCATGCGGGAGGCGTGAAAACGATGAGTTGTAATCAAGGAACCCCTATTAACCCTGTCCGACTGTATGATTTTAATTATCCCTGCAATTGTACTGGTCTGATAATGAATTGCTGAAAACATTTGTTTGTCAAATGAACTTTTCAGGTAAAAAAGCACCAACTTTAATACTGGAATGCCTACAAGGACACGCCGGGGGGACGCTGGGGCATCTGTTGATGAGCCCAACGCCAGGCAGTTGTATCATGCAGCGTGGCAGAACATCGGCGAAACACGTGAGTCTGGACTTTTAGACAGTACCTGCGCTCTCAAGTATGGCCCGTCATGTGACTCAGATCACTGTCAGCTCCCGAGACGCCATGACCAGTTCAGTCCTAATGTTACCTCATAGCTACTTCATACCAGCTCCAATATTCTACTTTCGTCCAACTATGCTCACTTTCTGTGATGCTTCTCGGTTTTGCTTTTATTCGTGGAACTCCAGCTACAACGAAGACGGGATCCAGCCTATTCTCGTTATCGCGAATCGCTCCATCGCCAAGTCATTATACTTACAACCAGGACATTTTAGTTAGGGATACACGCTGCCAGAGAGAGGGAGAAATGAATTTTAAAAAGACTCGTCCTTTGTGCGCGCTGCATGTGGCCAGGCCTTAGCAAAACAATCGCTCAAGGTAGACGTCTATGCTCATGGTGAGAGCCTGGAAACTTGAAGTACTGATCAGCTCGCATGAAAAACGGCTCGTAGCCGTGACTGTCGACTTTTGGATGCGTGATGATAATTTAGGTGAAAGCTGCTGTGTCCCCTAGGCAAGAAATCACTCCTTCCAGTGCCAAGTTCAACCAGAGTGCGGACAGCGAGTGCTAGGAGCGGTTTAGCAGCGAGGCGCTTCCGAGCACCTGCTCGGGATTTTGCAATTAACTGGTCGATGAGAGGGCGGACTTCCCACGTCATGTCGTAATAACGCTAGGGTTTAGGGTGTCACCTGTAACACCTATCTATATAGTACTGTCTTCCTGCTGTAAAATTGGTATCAGTTCAGTTCAGGTCACCAAAAAGCGCGGGAAAACCCCATCCTTCTGTAACACGGGACAGATGGTAATGAGGGTTAAATGGGTGGGACATAAGAATAAATTTTTTTTTAAAAATTAAAAAAAACATTAGCGCGTATAAAAGTAGAAAATAATGAGAATTATTATTTAAATAACCAAATAACTGTGTGCTATAATTAAAATGGTTCAGTAGTGTCCGATTGGACACAATCGTCGACTCTATATAATCTCTATATAATGTATATCTCTAGCTATGCCATTTCTACGGGGTTGATATGCATAGTATATAGAGGTGATATAGATATGACTACATAAATTATAAAGAGATGATACAGAGTTGACGATCGTGTTCAAATATTCATATCAACTATACTATTCGCTGCTACAGCTACTGTCGGGGCCCGAGAAATGAGGCCGAAGGCAAAGGCGGAACAGGACAAGTGAGTTCCGTTAGCAGTCGGCGAACATTCGTCAAAGAGTATTCATATGAACCTTTCCTCTACGCCCATGAACCTTCAAATAGACTGATATACTCCAAGTCAGCGATCAATTTCTGAGGGCAATTAAATCCTGCTGTCTACACTTGTTTTAACTCCTGAATTTTACCCTAGAACTACTGTGTTTTTACTGGTCATCGATCGGCCAGATCAATGACCAGCCCCGC